CACGATGATTATTTCTCATTATATAATTATGTACCATTTTTTTTATTAGCCCACTTTTAAAGAAAAAAGGCCATATATATATATGAATGGTCTTAGTAAAAAAGGGGGACTCCCTTTTTACTCTCTCCCCAATACTCTCTCTCTCTCTAAGAAATAAACACTCATTTTCAATATCTTGTTCTTGATTTTTCATACGAGAAATTAGACTCTTATTTAATAGTTGATCGTCCGATTTTTTACATCAACAACGTGTATTTAACAGATGTTTTTTTTTCCATCTCATCCCTGAACGAGATGAGGGGGATATTTTTGAACCCTTCGGGATATATTAGGCTAGAGCTGGAGATTTTGGAACACGAACAGATTTAAACACCAAGTCGTCTCTTAATGAAGGTTAGCCGAATTACTTTGCACGTGTATTCAATCACTCGATGAAAAGAGAAAACAAATCTGAAACACTCTAATTCAATTGTTTTTTGTTTTGATTATCAACCACAAATTCTAAAAATAAAGCAAGACACACTTCAAATTCCAAATGGAGTTCAAATAATGATTTGGTGAGTTAGGGAGTCGGAGATATTCGTTTATGGTTCTCAAGCAATCAACTAGCACGCAAACGCTCGGTTAAGAGATCAAATAACATACTCATTTAGAGGCTTCTCCTCAATAACTCTTCGTAACGACCAATTATTAAACAATTAACATATAGACAATATATTAACGAACAAGCATATTCTAAACGAGCCAAGATCAATCAATTTTTCCCTTTCCAGTTCTACAAATTGATTAACTAGATTAAAATGATGATCAAACATCTAACCCTAGATTAAGCACAACTCGAATAGACTGAACGTCAAACACGCACACATGAATCTCAATCGAACCAAAACAAATATCCCCTATCCCTAACGAAGCGATTTAGCCACACATATTGATATCAATCCCAACAAAAGATTCAACATAATAAATCACTTCCATAATCAAATGAAAGAAAATTGCTATTAATCTAAGTCGAGAATGAAATTGAATTACAAACCAAACCGCGTTCGTTATGGAGTGCCACAATCTCCAAAACTCGAATCCAAGCAAAATCCAAATAAACCAAGTGAAAGTTGTTGAGAGAATTAGTTTTGAGATGAAAAGAAAAAAAATAAAAGTCTCAATAATCTGTTTTCTCTCCAATTCTAGCCTAATATATCCCCAAGGATTCTAAAATTTCCCCCTCATCTCGTCCAAGGATGATATGAAAAAAAAAATCATCTGTTAAACCATGTATCGTTTTGCAAAGAATTAAAGTGCGTGATATATTATGCAAAAGTTAAAAGGTTGTGATTAATTATGCAAAAAAAATTGTCTGTTAAATATACATCAGCAGGTGCGTTGGCATTTGAGTGTCACGTCAGACGAGTTGGGGCAGCAGATGTATCGTTTTGCAAAGTCTTGAAGGTCGTGATATATTATGCAAAAGTTAAAAGGTTGTGATTAATTTGCAATCTCGATAAAGGTCATGATATTAGTCGCAATTTTGCCAATAAAAATAACTTGGAGTGGCGTAATTTCCTCTAAAATAAAACACGCAATAACAAATTTTGTGCTAGGAATTTTTCGCAGCGAAAAAAAAAATAGGCAAAATTGCGGCTAATATCATGACCTTTATCGAGATTGCAAATTAATCACAACCTTTTAACTTTTGCATAATATATCACGTCCTTCAATTCTTTGCAAAACGATACATGCGCTGCCCCAACTCGTCTGACGTGGCACTCAAAATGTCAACGCACCTGCTGATGTGTATTTAACAGACGATTTCTTTTGCATAATTAATCACAACCTTTTAACTTTTGCATAATATATCACGCCCTTAAATTTTTTTGCAAAACGATACATGGTTTAACATATGGTTTTTTTTCATCTCATCCCTGGACGAGATGAGGGGGAGATTTTGAAACCCTTGGAGATATATTAGGCTAGGGCTGGAGAGAAAACAGATTATTGTGACTTTTATCTTTTTTTTTTTCATCTCAAAACTCATTCTCTCAACAACTTTCACTTGGTTTGCTTTGGATTTTTTTGCTTGGATTCGAGTTTTGGAGATTGTGGCAATCCATAACGAACACGGCTTGGTTTGTAATTCGATTTTATTCTCGACTTGGATTAATAATAATTTTCTTTCATTTGATTATGGAAGTGATTTATTATGTTGAATCTTTTGTTGGGATTGATATCAATATGTGTGGCTAAATCGTTTCGTTAGGGATAAGGGATATTTGTTTTGGTTCGATTGAGATTCGTGTGTACGTGTTTGTCGTTCAATCTATTCGAGTTGTGCTTAATCTAGGTTAGATATTTGATCATCATTTTAATCTAGTTAATCAATTTGTAGAACCGGAAGGGGAGAAATTGATTGATCTCGGCTCGTTTAGAATAGGCTTGTTCGTTAATAGATTGTCTATATGT